GCAAAAACATAAACATGAAAAGTGAGCAAACAAAACCAGGTAGTCTATGATAAGTGCCAAAATAAGCATCATGGATAGACAGTAAGAGTAAGAGCCATACAGGAGTGCAGGGGAGAGAGTGATCACCATGAATAATAAATGGTACTTACGGGGTATTTTCAAAGAGTCTAAAGACTTGCCCACGAAGGAAATGTGGGGTGAACAAATTCAGTGTGGTGGTTTGGTATTGAACACATGCAGCATATTCTCAGAGGTACACATCTCAGCAAAAATTCAGAATGACCAAGTATGGGAGGCAACATGAAATGGTGGAAAGCCTACTGGCTTTGGAACCAAAAGACTTGGGTTCAAATCTTCTTTCTTCCACTTACTAAACTTGTGATTTGTAGACATACCATTCACTCTCTTTGTGCCTCAGTTTCTTCATTTGTAAAATGAGAGCTCTGGACCAGGGGGAGATCAATGTAGTACACAGAGTTCTGGGCTTGGAGTCTTGAAGCTTGATTTCAAATCCCACCTACAACACTTATTGCCCATTTAACTACGAGCAAGTCAATTAAGTTTTTTAAGCCTCAGTTTTCTCATCTGTAAAATGAGGATAATAATGCCCTAGTTTTAGAAACCATAAAGCAATATATAAAAGGCAGTTATTATTGTCATGGTTAATTATTTTGCTCTTAAAGGTCCTATGGGCTCTCACATCATCTGATTCATGACTTTTGGCTACTTTGGGTGCTGAGGTGAAATGGGACATTTAAAATAACTAAATGAATTAGTGACTTCAAATATTTTCTCTCTTCTTTAATTCTCCCCCTCAACTTATCTACCTGCTTATTTTCTTCTGAACCCTAATTAACCTTTGGTTCCCCTGCTTCCTTTGAAGAGAAAAGTTCTTGGGAGCTGGGAAGGTTTTTCATTTATGTCTATGTAATGAGTGCCTGCTACAGTCTCTCACACATAGTGTCACTTAATACATTTTGTTAAATTGGTTTCAGTAGGGTTGAATTGAATCATGGACCGAGAGAGGGCTTTTTAATTTTAAGTAAATTTAACCTTTCAGTCGAGGGGGTGGGAGAAATGGAAGGATGGGAGAACAGTTTTGCAGTTCTGATTTCCTGTCCCCCTAAATTTGACCTAAAAAGACCTCAGTGAGGGTTTTGTTGATATTAGGACTGATTGGTCATAAACATGATGGGTAGAGGAAGAACATACTGGAACAGAGAAGCCACAATACAGCTGACAGTCAGACACACAGAAGCAGTCTTGTAGTAAGGAGCTATGGAAGCCACAAAGTGATGGATCTTATCAGTGCTTTTCTGAATTCAAAGTCAGTGTAAGTTGCTACTGACTCAGAAAGAAGCCTGGGAACCTTGCATTATCCACTTATAATGTGTTAGAGTACCTCAGCTCTAGACCTAGGGTCCTACTTTGGTATTCCTTCTACACCATAAATATTAATCCACACTCTAAATGAGTTCTTATTATTTACAAATCAGTGTGGCATGGGACATGCAGAGCTGGCCTTGGAGCCAGAAAGACCTGACTTCAGGAGCTGCCTCTGATATGTTCTACATCAGGTCCAGCCTCTTCATTTTACAGATGAGGGTTCTGAAGCCTGGGGAGATTAAGTGACTCTCAAGATCACAAAGGGAATGGTAGAATTCGAACTCAGGCTTTCTGGCTCCAGAAGTAGTAATCTTTCCACTGTTCTACACAGTGGAAAGTGGGAAGCTGACTTGAAGCCCTGCCTCCATCTCTTTCTAACTGTATAGTCTCAGGAAAGTAACTTCATCTCTCTGGGTCTGTTTCCTCATCTGTAAAATGGGGGGGGGTTACACCAGGTAAGCCCTAAGATTCCTTTCCATGCTAGCCTTCTCCGATTCTCTCTTGCCCGTAAGGTAACCCAGGGACACTGTTCCAATATCTGAAAGGTTAATGTGAATGATGACCACCAGCTGTTGTCTATATCCATGGAGGAGAGGAACTAGGCTTAAAATAAAGAGAAGGGGATTTTCATAAGATATAAAGGAAAATGTACTGATTGGGGAGAGGTCCTTAGCTCTGAAAGCTGTTCCGAAGTTTTCCTAGTCCTCTGAAAGAACAGCCTAGTTGAAAGACAGCATGGGGTAACTGGAGAGATAGTGGGACTTGGCAACAGGAGATCTGGAGCCAAACCAGGCTCCATGGCTGAGTCACTTAATCTTTTAGTCTGTATTTATCTGTCAAATGGGGATATTAATACCTGTACTGCCTACCTTACAGCGTCTTCGGGGGAAAGTACTTTGCAAGCCTTAAAGTACTATAAATATGAGTAATTATTATTTACCGAGGCTGTTTGGAGTAGTGGATAGGGTTGTCCTTGGAGTTAGAAAGATCTGGCTTTAAGAGATGCCTCTGATCCATACTATTTGTGTGACCCCAGGCAACTCTCCAAAATCTTAACTTATGGGTGAATTGACAGTCTACATTGATGGGAGGGATTTTTCATACCAGGATTTCCCCATATAAATGAAGTCACAGATCCGGACCAAAAAATGAAATTAAAAAAATTTTACACATTGATTCAGAATGGTTTGGAGACTTTTTGAGCTAGAAGGATCCCTAGAGACCATCTAATCCAGTCCCTCCCCATTTTTCATGAGAAAGCTGAGATGGAGAAAAGTTAGATGACTTTATTCAAGGTCACACAAGTAGGAAACACACAGAGGAGTCAGGATTAGAACCTCTGTCTCTCAATTCCAAGGTCAGTGTCCTTTCTACCACACTATGCTGTTTCTCATCCCCCGCCCCCATATTGCCTTTCATCCATCCATAGGTACTAGTAGCTTATTTGCTATTATCTTGAATCCCTAGTAAATGGCCTGACCTAGAGAAGAAATTTATAGGCACTTTGAACACCTGCATGACATTCTGAATCTGAACAGCCAGTGGGGCAAACTCAGTGGACTTTAAGGTTTTTCAGCCAATCGTTTTTTGTATGTTATGCCTCCGCTGGGGATTCTTATCAGAATTTACATTAGGATAGAGACAGGGGAGAAGTAAAGAAAAAAGGATGGAATAATGATGGGTCAAAGCAGATACATTCAGGGAAGGAGATAGCAAAATGGGCTAGCTAGAAAGTATTCCAAAATAAACATGACAGATAGAAGCAGGACTCACTGTAACAGATGAGCCAGGATACAGCTGACAGGCAGACAGAGAGAGGCAGGGCTCATAGTAAGAAGCTACTGTAGCCTTGAACTGGCACATCCCACCATGCTGACTCTACAGATTCATTTGGCCGGCATCCAACGCTAACCTCATAAAGCTTCTTCAGAGACTTTTCAAGCAAATTGAAGAGTTTCCTTTTTTCCTCCTTCATCCTTAGATTTCAAGTTAAGGCTATCTATCTAACATGTTTTCCACTGCCCTCAAGGCAATGTTTCTAGCTGCCAGAAGGCAAGGAGAAAGGGTAACTGGGAGAAGGAGGATGATCAGAGAAACCAGACCTGGCCAGAAACCCATAAAAGTGCTTATGGTGTAGGCATTAGTGGACTTTTGTGGGCAAGCTGGACTCCCTCCTAGGGTTCTGGATTTATGAGCACTATCCTTATATGCCTGAGTTTGGAAAACTGGCAAAGTCGAGTGGAAAAGGGGAAAAAAACTAATTAAGGGCCATCCAGCACATCTGTCCAAGGAGTGGCCTTTGGGAAGGAAAACCTGGAACTTGTAAGAGGAAGTCAAGCTAATTGTCTCACTTTGAGTTTGCAGGTTTCTAATGGACTTTCCCTCTCCTCCAAGCAGGTTGAAATTATGACACTGATCTCTCCCCCCCTTCTCTCTGTCTCTCTCTTGTCAAAAAGATGCAAGTGAAAGGCAACGTGGTATAGTGGACAGAGAGCTGACCATGGAAAACCTGGATTCGAGTCTTGCCCCTGACACATAATGGATGCATGAACCTGGGCAAATCCTTAACCTCTCAGAGCTCTAGGTAACTCTAAGACTATAAGTTGCAGAGAAGGTGTCGACTTGCATTGGTAGAAGGAATTCATTCATCCAGAAGAAACCTATACCAATGAAACAAGAGGTCCAAAAACAAACAAACAAACAAAAATAATCTAAGCTGCAATAGTTGTCACTTCTGATGAGCCTGTGGGTTAAATTCAAGCCACATCCATTGCCTATATCATGTTCATAACCTCAGACATGGGAGGAACAAGGATTCCTATTGTGATAGCGAAGATTTTTCTTTGTAAAAGTCTTCATGCCTGCTCATACAAAGAGGTACCATTTTGCTCAGCACTACCATATCAATACAGGATTGTCCATCCTCTGGCACATACATACAAACTATTTTTTTCTCACACCAACACCTTCAGGCATCATGAACTTGACAAAATGACATGGCCAGCTGGATACTTCTAGCAGAGAATGATACTAGTCAGCATACTCCTGACCACATGGACCCTTTCAATACACAGTCCTTACATGGGCATGCTTGATTCATATACCCTAATCCATCTGTTTGTCACATCCCTTGCCCCCACTCCCAACACACACGTGTACACATACAAACACACACACACACACACACACACACACTCACCCTCTCTCTTCTCTCTGCTCCTGGCGCATACCAATTCATGTCGAGACAATCCCATAGACTTAATATGTCTTACATCTACATAGAAAGTCTGATTTCTTTTTCCTTTTTTTTGCCTTCCAAAAATCCTATACAGAAAAATCTTGAGGACATGACATTTGGTGCCAGCCCAGTGAGCACCACAGCCCTGGAAACCTGGTTTTAATCAGAAAACCTCAGCAAGCCCCAAACCACACTCCTTTCGCCACCTACCCTCCTTGATAAGATCAGCCACATGTTAACCAAGAGGAGTTTGGTCGAGATCTGAAGTTCAGCCCTCCATCTAGGCGGACTTCCCTTAAGGCTCTTTGCTCCACTCATGTAACATTGGGGCCGTTGTAATCAAATCCCAAGAGCCAATGAGGAAAACAGCTCAGACCTGGTTCATGGTCGAAGGTTTCAATTTCCAAGATTTCTGGCACGCATGATTGGAATATGGCTATTTCAAGACGAGGGGCTTATCTTCCTTTGCAAGGATCTTCACGACTTCCTTATGACCAGGAGCAAAGAAGCAGAGAATTCAAACACATTTCACTGTGTCCTGGTGAAAAGACATTATAGTTGGCCATATTATTCTTTAGGGAATGACTTAATTTCTCTTCGGCCCTTCCTTTCTCTTCAATTACCTGAGCTCACCTCAAGTTTTCATTGTGTTAAACTTCCTCTGCTTATTACTGGGTGCAAAGTTTAGCACAGGGTGCCCTGACTGTGTTTCCAAGCTCAGGCCAAAAGGAGACACTTTGCTTTCTAAAGGCTCAATTTAAAGAGGATGCTTAATTTCTATCATCCCAAAGGCCCAGAAGTGGAATGCACTTCCTGACTCCCATCACCTAAGAGGGTATCTATTTATAAATCATTCTGATAAGCAAAATCTAACTCTCCTTCATCGTGTCAGCTATACAAGGGTGTTTCTTACAGCAATGGGTTTTGTTCATGAGCTCACCCAGCCCCATGCCTCATAATGGCACACTGGAGATTCCCTGACTCTACTGCAAAAGAAACTCTGGAGTCAGCTCAGTTATCTCCTCCTAATAAAGTGGTTGTGGGTTAAAGGTTCCACCATATGTTAAGGAAGTGTGCCTGTCATATGACTTAAAAAAAAAAAGATCTGGCACTTCCCTATAGCTTATTGGTACAATAAAAGACCAATTTAATGGTGCCCTACTTTCTTATCAGGGTTCTTTTGTTCTCTTATTTTACAGAGTTGATCATTTTTAAAAATCAGATTTTGATTAATTGTATATATTTATTTTTATCTGAGTCCTGTCTATAGCAGTTTAAAAATAAAAAAAAACCTTGAAAAATAATTTTTATTGATGCTAGATGTTTGTTTTTTATATCAACTCAAGAGCTCTTTGTTCAGCATTTAATCCCCCTCCAACAGGGGAAAAAGCCATAATTGCTGATTATCTGTAAAGAATACCAAGAGGGAAATGTAGGTAGGGGAATCTCTCCCTGTGAAGATGATAGAACAGGGACAGACTGAAAGGGTTTTAGAAGTGGAAACACACTCATTGCCTTATGTTATTGGCTGTAACTCACAAAAGAGTGAGTTACAAAAAATTCTTTATTATTTTTTTTTAGACTAGGCTGGTAAATCGTCTACTCAGTAAAATGATAGACCAGGAAACCAAAGTATTTTCCCTCTTTAGCCTCAAGCTATGAGAGACAGCCTGGTGTCATGGAAAGAACACTCACTGGATTAGAGCTCAGGAAATTTGGTCTCTTGTCTTTGCCTTACCATTGCTAGCATACAAGTCACATAATCTCTCTGGGCCTCATGTGGACAATGATGGGTTTTTTTAGACAAATTGATTTCCCAGGATCCTTCCAGCTCTGAAAATCTATGATTCTAATTCTGTGAGAAATCAGTTGGCATGATTTGGCCAATTAAAACAACTGGCCATAATCTCACAGGGGTCTGAATGCACACACCCTTGTCCAGATGCAAAAACGTACCGACACACGGCTCCTATCAACACAAAATGCAATTCTACACACGATGTCCACGCCACACCAGACCACACTCAGACCTAAATAGTGTACTCAGGCACTAGGCTCATATCTGACTCGTCAGCTTTCACTCAGTGTCACTGAAAAATCTCAGCCATTCTTCTTGCCTTACCTTCCAGATTCCACATTTCCAATCAAGGGCAAATCAGCTCTTTGTCCCTTTCCCAGGATCCCAATAAGCTACTGGATTTCACAGCATCTCAGTCACTAGGATAGCAAAACAAGGACCTTCCATTATTCAAGCATTGTGGGCTCACTTCTTTAACTCAGTTGTTTGAAGATGAATAAAAGAAATTGAGGTGAAAAGTCAAACCTTTGAATTCTCACGGATCTTCCAAGCCAGATGAAACAAGAAGCAAGCTAGAAATACAAAGTTACTAAAATATACTTAAATAGACAGCAAACAAGGGGGAAACCAAATAGAGTTCTTGGTGGAGAAGAAGCAAACAGTACGCACTGGAACAACCATTTGGTGTCAAGTAACAGACAGATTAAACAAACAGACTCATCAGCTATTTTTACATTCAGATCTGGCAGTGGCAATGGATAACTAGGGGGGTGAAAAATAACGATGCCTGTTGAGCTGGCCCCTAACCTGGATTCAAAACACAGCTCCAAATCATCCATGGAACTATGGAACACCTCGATACAGATCAATGTCTCAAGGTGACAAAGAAAAATATTTATTCAAGTCACCGTCAAGAAGCAGACCAAGTATGTGCTCCGGGCGACCCATGATGGGGCTGTTGATGTGGAGGTTCAGAAATAGCCTATTTCATCATCAGCCCTGGACAAATGTATCCTGCATTCCTCGAGTAAGGAGGCCACTCTCTCCCGTCCTCTCAGAGCAAAATAACATGACTGGCTGTAGGGGAGGAGACAAGCCAGCAGGGTTGGGTTTCAGGTTGAGAATTTCAATAGGTTATGAAATAATAGGGGAGATATGTAATGAAGCAAGATAACCTTAAGTTTTAGAAGCACAGATATAAACAAGGACAGCCGTCTGGAAAACAGAAACAGTAAGTGAAACAATTATTCCAATTGCTACTCTTTAATTAATTTCCTTGCATAGGGCAAGGTTTGAATCTCAGGATCCTCATGGAGGGAATTGGCTTTGGTCCATGGGGCTTGTGAGAAGCACATTGCTTTTCTCAGGAACCTTTCCTCTCAGGTCTCACTAAGATTGTAATCTGCACTCCCCACCCCACCCCCCACTCCCCAATCCCCTCCCTCTTCACCTCTTACTTTTGAAGCTAAGGTCCAGAAATGTTTTGGGTTTTTAGGGAGGAGCCTATCTTCCATACATAGGACTAAGAAGGAAGGTTCTATAGTGTTGATTTCCACTCGCCATTCGAATATACCATCTTCCTATTTTTGAATCATGTTGTAGAAGTCATTGAGGGGTGGGTTCGGACTGGGAAGAAATGGAGTGAGGTCCATTTGTTGCCTTTACAAATCTGAATGCTGAGCTGTTCGTCCAAGGCTCAGAAATGGTTTTAGAGAAGAACAAACCGAATGCCTCACGTTTCCTTGTGACATTCCCTTCTCCTCCCTTTCCAAGAGGAAACAAAACAAAAATAAAACAGAATAAAACCTCTGGAGGCCAACAGTCGTAAGGGAGTAGATCATAAGGGAAATGAGCGACGGGTCCACTGCTGTCTGCTAATTAGCTTCCTTCTCTCTCATACTATGTCTCCATTCTCGTTCTTACAATTCATCACAAGTGAAGAATGTGACCTCATGTCTTGTTTAGGTTACCAGGAAGTATGTATTTTACTTAGCTCCTGCTACTGGAAGGGATGGGATTTACATGAAAGTGACAGAATCAGAAAAAAGAAAAGAGGTTAAGGATTTAGGGAAAACAGAGGAGGAAGTTTTGAGGGGGGGAGGGGAAGAGTAAGGAGCTAAAGGAAGATTGAGAAGCCAGCACCACAGTAGAAGAAGCCAGAAGGATAGCAGGATGGATAGAACATAGGGAGAAAGAACAAGATACTAACCTGTGTAGAAGGTGCTCACTGAGAGACAGTGTATTCCAACTGTCAGCGTTGGGGCAGAAACCAATGAGTACTGACCACAGCTGACTGAGGTGGGATCGGATTTCTCAACAAGAATTTATCTACCTGCCCCATGCCAAAGACAGAGTGTCTCTGCAGATGGTGATCCTTCTCATTGGCGAAATTTCAGTTGAAACTCAGTTTTGGGCAACTTGGTGAAAAAATCATCCTCAGGGTCTGTCCGCCTCAGCTGAGAATGGATAACTCTAGGTTCTGTGTGGAGCCTGGCTGTGAGTGTTTCAAAGGGAATAACCCATCTGAAGGAACAGTTCTCTAGGGTCCAGGAACCTCTGAGCTGTATGGAAAGAATGTGGATGAAGACACAATTCTAAATGTAGACTCATAGGCACTGTGATAGCCAAGGCTGTCACTTATCTTCCAAACCTCAAGGACTAATTTCACAGTCTGAAAGACCATAACTTATGTCTTGATGTACTGGGCAGATTTTTTTTTATTAGTCTTTGCCCTGGTTGCCGATCACCCTGTGACAGTAATGATGCCGAAATTTGATGCTTTAAACAATAACATTTAACATGGTCTACCCATTACCTCTAGTTAAGTTCAGTTCAATTAAAAATCATTTATTAAGCATGTGATTTGTGCAGAACACTGATACAGAGATATGGTTTCTGAATTCATAGGTTTGACAATCTAATGGGGATAATAGTATACAAATAGCTATAATTCAAAGTGTACATGAATGAAAGAAGTAAAAACTGTCTGTAAAATCCAAGGAAAGAAAATTACTTTTAATGGGGGCGGGCAGCAGGTCAGGGAAGGCTTTCTGAAGAAGTTAGCATGTGAGGTAAGTCATGAAAGATGGGTAGGCATAGTGGATAGAATGCTGGATCTGGAAATAGGAAGACCTGAGTTTGAATCCTGCCTCAGACACTTACAGTGTGACCTTGGACAAGTCACCTAACATTTCTAACTTCACTTTCCTTATCTGTAAAATGAGAACGGTAAGAACACCAGACTCACAGGGTTGTTGTGAGACTCAAATGAGGTAATATACGTAAAGTGCTTTGCAGGAAAGTGTTATACACATGCTGGTCATTCCACAGAAGCTTCAATAAGCTGGGGAAACAGTTTTTGGGGGTTCTCCCCCATACATGTGGATCTGGAGATCACAGACCTTGGAGGGCAAAAAATGTTAAGCCCAAGTATATCTAGTCTCCAGCTTTTACAGACAATCCTCTCTGAATGCTTGAAAATAATACATAAAAGTCCCATAAGCAAAACGGTTGTATTCCACCTAACACACTGGAATTAAACCCTAACCTTTCTGAGAAGCTGTCATCAAGGAAGCAGTGTTATTCAGGTTTATTTTCTCAAGGCTCTTACATGGGGCTTCTCAGTGTAGGGGGAGTACAAGCTAAACCAACCTACCTGTTCTCCTACCTTTCCCTGACCCCAGCCAGAGAAGTCACTCTTTGGCCAGGGATGCCTGTTCAGCCAGATTTACTCTGGAAGCCAGAACAAATCCAAGGCCTCAGTTGGCCTCAGTTGGCCTGTCTGTAAAATGGATCAACAGTAGGAGATGGGGTGATGAGTTAAAAGCATGGGATGGGGAGTCAGAAAACCTGAGTCTGAATTCAGACTTTGCTGTTGCTTTTCTGTATGATTTCGGGCTGAAAGTCACCTAGTTTCTCTGGGCCTTCCAGCTCTCATCTATAAAAGGAGTGAGGGGAGATGGCATGGCATGGTGGGTAATGAGCTGTTCTCAGAGTCAGAATGACTTGTGTTCAAATCTCTCTTCTAACACATACTGGCACTAGGACTTTGAGTGAGTCCTAACCTTGTCTCAAGCAGCCATCTACAGAACTAAAGCAGACCCGCATTGGTTGAGGGAGGTTCTTCATTGGGAGATGTCTACGTCAATGGTTCTAGACCAGTGGTGTCAAATACAAACAGAAATGGGGCCACCAAACTGTGCGTAAGGATATCTGTGGGCCACATAGTGATTGAGAAAAACACATATTAAAATTATCTATTTTATTGTATATTTGTTTATTTTGTTAAGTATTTTCCAGTTACATTTTAATCTGGTTCTAGTTGTATTTAAGATTGTTGCAGGCTGCCTATTTGTTATGTCTAGACTTCCAGTTTAGCCATAAAAAGAAAAGGAAAACATTAGACTAGATCTCCTCCAAAATCCTTTTTAGCTCTTGTTAAAGTACCTCAATGACTTCTCTGATTTTTGGAAAAATGAGAGTATTATTTAATAAGTCCCATGGAAGGAACTGTCGATTTTACCTTAGCAATAGGTCATAAATCACACCACCCAAGCAGGAAGGGTGATGCAGTGCAAAGACCACCACCTTTAGGAGAGTAGGCAACCCAGGGTCAAGTCTGCCACTTATTAGCTGTGTGATCTTGGGCAAGGTACTTCCTTTCTCTGAATTTCCTCATCTGAAAATGAGGGGTTTGGACAAGACAGATAGAATTTATATGGCTAGCTTTACATAGATTATCTCATGGATCCTCACAACAAATCTATGTAGTAGGTGTTATTTTTTATTTATAATTTCCTGGGGTGGGGTGGCTAGGTGGCACTGGGGTTAGAGTTTTGGGCCTGGAGTCGGAAAGACTCATCTTCCCGAGTTCAAATCTGGCCTCAAACACTTATTAGCTGTGTGATCTTGGGCAAGTCACTTAAACTCTGTTTGCCTCAGTTTCCTCATCTGTGAAATGAGTTGGAGAAGGAAATGGCAAACCACTCCAGTATCAGGATGCTCCCAATGCCCAAGATTTCTTTCAACTTTCAATCTTACATTAGAAGGACTTTAGCCATACCTTGTTTCAACTGCGTAAAAGAACAAATGAATGTACTGCGTGCCTAATAATGGCAGGATCATAGGAAGAATTTGTTGGGAAGTTAGGGATGGGGCTGGGGCAAGATCCAGTCAGCAGAACTATGAATGTCTTAAGCCTTGTCAGCAGAATGATGATTATTGTAGAGGGAAGGTCCTTACTCTGACTTTCATCCAGGAATTGTGGCTTAATGAACTTGCTGAGGGTGGTGTAGGGGAGCCACCAATTTACTTGACCTGTGCTTTCTGATAAGGGTGAAGGCAGGAGAGCCATATTCTTCTGTTTGTTCAATGCAGTTCCTATCAGAACTGCCCAATAGGTAGCTGAACAGTATTGCACATGGCTTTAATAAGGATGGAATGAATGTATGGGATTGCTCAGCTAAAGATAGCACAGCCTCCTGTTGGAGGTCTGTCTAGAGAGTTAGCCCTCTGCTATCTACCAACTGTTAATAAACGTTAGTCCTCTGCTTTCTACCAACTGCTAATGGCCCACCCACACTAGGTTGTTGGTACATCCTATTTACTAGAAAGGGGCCTCCTCATGAACTTAGAGGGGGCAGCTTAATATGCAAACCATACATGTGGTTGTAAAACTGGGCTTCTGCAGGAGGTATTTCCTATAGGTTTGCAAAAAAGAAACTCTGTTGCCTCACCCTTTAAAGGCATGGCTGGTCTACTGAAGCAAAGCCACACCTCATGGTAGGAAATAGATTTCATGAGAAAAAGGGTTATGGGCATTCCTAGAATCACAGCTCACATATTTCTAATGCTTTAAGGCTTAGGAAGCACTTTTCTTGTTCTAACTCTGTAAAGTCATTAGAAAAGG